CCAAAGCTCCAATTGCTAACAAATACAGGTACCTACAAATCAAACATTGTATTTATTTACTCAATATGACTATGACTCCTCTTATCCCTAGTAGACATGATGAGAAAATCGGATGAAAAAAAAATCACTTTTGGAGCGATCGTCTGGTAATCTGATTGTTAGTACACAGCTTTTGAGAGCCGATCATAACAATTCATGCAAAAATATCCAGAGGGACAAGCCTTAAATTTTTTTACTCATAAGATAACAGAATTAATGATTTTCCTGTAATTCGTATAGTATTTGTACAAAAAAAAAATCGAGTCACTAAGGCCGGGCATGCTCAGAAATGAAATATCACAATAAAATGCATTACATTTTTCCAAAGTTATATTCTGAAGACAATTTTTGGAACTTTGGTAACCTATTCATTTTCAATATGAGACTAGCATGCAAAAGAGAAAAAAAAAACCAGACGATCATTCATCCGATATTCTGATTGTGTGTATGAGGCATTACACAATCACCACTTTTGAACATATCTGCCTCTATAACCCACACTCATACAAACTCCTCTCTATGATCTACTCTTCTCTCAACTCTTTCACTTCCAAAAATCAGAATATATGTGCAAAAAAGTGCGACCAAGATCTAGCTGCACTTCACTTTTCTGCAGATATTGGAAAAGCCTGAAAATTGTACCTAAATGCTATACCAATGTAACATTCATGGAATCCACTTACAAAGCTGTAATGTGCGGGTACTGGGTACAGGCATGAAGATCCAAATCAAATTCACAGAACAGCACTATGGCTCCATTCGCACAGGTGTGATGTGTTCGGAAACACAGAAGACATGCATTCCTGAATTTTGTCCCTGAATGGACAGGACCCTAAATACCGGCACACCGTTCAGCCCAATCAAGCTACAGCCTGCCATAGGTTTCAACAGGCAGCTTGCATTGGGGCTGAATGCAACATCTGTCCCTCCTGGACACGCTAAAGCGCTGGAGGGATGACTGCAGCTTAAAGGCCCTATGGCAAGTGGCCTAAAGGTTTTCGAGGGTGCAGTCAAATTGGTTTAGTTTCATGTCTGGTTGACTTGCCCCAACAGTCTTATTTTGGATTAAAAATTTTGACTTACTTTACACATAATATTTAAAGTAACTACAGTCATGGCCAAAAATATTGGCACCCCTGAATTTCTGAGAGATAATGCACCACTTCGCCCAGAAAATTGTTGCAGTTACAAATTTTTAGGCATTCTCATTTGTATTTCTTTTGTTTGTATTGGCATGACACAAAAAAGTGGAGAAACAAAAAAACCAAAACTGACACATTTCACGCAAAACCCCAAAAATGGACCGGACAACACTATTGGCACCTCCTCAAAATTGTAAGAAATAATTTCAAGTTTGTGATGCTCCTGTAATTTGTAATTAAACTCACCTGTATCAATTAACAGCTGAAAATATAGAAATCACATCGGCAATCAGTTAAAATGGTGAAAAATTAACTCAACCTTTCTGCTGTGTGTCTCTGTGTGCCACATGGAGCATGGAGAAGAAAGAGAGCACAAAGGATTGTCTGAGGATTTGATACCCCACTGCTGACACAGAAACATAAAAAGCCAGACTGGAATTTGTCAAAACTTACCTGAGAAAGCCAAAATCCTTTTGGGAGAATGTGCTGTGGACACAGGAAACAAAATTACAGCTTTTTGGTAAAGCCCATCATTCTACTGCTTTCAGAATACAGTCCTTACAGTCAAACATGGTGGAGGTTCGCTGATGTTTTGGAGTTGCTTTGCTGCTTCAGGCACTTGATGTCTTGACTGTGTGCATGGCATTATGAAATGTGAAGACTACCAGAGAATTCTGGTGTGCAATGTAGGGCCCAGGGTCAGGCAATGGGTCTTACAGCAGGACAAAAACCCAAAGCGCATGTCAAAAAGCACCCAGAAATGGTTTAAGACAAAGAGCTGGAGAGTGCAAACTGGCTAGCAATGAGTCCAGATCTCAATCCCATAGAGCACCTGTGGAGAGATCTCAGGACAGCAGTTGGGAAAAGGAACCCTTCCAATCTGAGAGACCTGAAGTGCTTGACGAAGGAAGAACGGTCCAAAATTCCAGTAGAGAGGTGTAAGAAACTCTTTCATGGTTACAAGAAGCAACTGATTTCAGTTATTTTTTCCAAGTGGTTTGCAACCAAATATTAAATTGAGGGTGCCAATAATTTTGTCCATTACATTTGTGGAGTTTTGCGTGGAACGTGTCAGATTTGGCATTTTGTTTCTCCACTTTTTTGTGTCATACAAATACAAACAACACAAATAAACGTGAGAATTCCTAAACATTTATAATTGCAATGATTTTCTGGGCGAAGTGGTGAGTTTGCTTTAAATATTAAACATTAATTAACCATTTGCCGCCCACCCTATGGCCGAATGGCGGGCGCTAAATGTCATCAGTGTTCCGGGTGGACGCCATATGGCGTCCTCCCGCATATGCGCAGATTGCGCTCCTGCAGAGCGGCGCAGCGGCGCTATCTTTCATCGGCCGTGTACCTCGGACACAGCTGATGACAGATCTGAGTATCGGCCCCCGTTGCCGGTACCATGTGACCTGCTGTGACCAATCACAGCAGGTCACATGACAGTTGTATACAATGGATGGCTTCATTCATGCCATCCATTGTATACTACTGCCTAGCTGTGAATGGTCACAGCTAATCACATGCACATGTCATGTGATTAGCTGTGGCCAAATCACAGCTAAGCACAAAAAAAAAACCCAAAAAAAAAAAACCCTGAATGACTCGATGTCATTCAGGTAAATGCTTGCTTATAGCAAAGTAATTCTTTGCTATAAGCAAATTGTATAAAAAAAAAAAAAATACTGATCACTTCCCCAAAGTAGTACAATGTTACTATGGTAACATTGTACTACTTTGGTCATAGTGAAATATGAAAAAAAAATCTTAAAATAAAAAAAAAAAATAGATAAAAAAAATAAAAAATATATATAATTTTTTTTTCATACTGTCACCAGTCAATGTCCCTGATCACCGCCATGCCAGTTATATGATGACGCTGTACTGCACTGGTGACAATATGTAAAAAAAAAAAATAGTGAAACTAATTTTCTTAATTTTTTATTTTTCTGAAAAATTATGACAAAAAAATACAATTTCAAAAAACTCGCCATGCCTCTTATGAAGTACGTTGGACTGTCTACTTTGCAAAAAGGGGTCATTTGGGGGATATCTGTACTGTTCTGACATTCTTGGACCTCAAGAAATTAGATTGGCTGTCAGTACTTCAGGATTGATCAATATTCAGATCTATACCATAGCTTGTGAACTCTATAACTTTCCTACAAACTAAAAAATACATCCTAATTTGGGTTATTTTCACCAAAGACATGTAGCAGAATACATCTCGGCCTAAATTTATGAAGAACAATTATTTATTTGCAAACTTTTATAACAGAAACAAAGAAAAACCTTTTTTTTTTCAAATTTTTGGTCTTTTTTTGTTAATTTAGCAAAAAATAAAAACCCCCAGCGGTGATTAAATACCACCAAAAGAAAGCTCTAGTTGTGTGAAGAAAATGATAAAATTTTAGTTTGGGTACAATGTTGTATGACCGCGCAATTGTCATTCAAAGTGTGAGAGCGCTGAAACCTGAAAACTGGCCTGGGCAGGAAGGTGTAAAATTGCCCGGTATTGAATTGGTTAAATAGCTCTTTTGGTTTGTAGTTCCACTTTAGAGGCAGGAAAGCTGCAATTAGGCTTTAACCCTTTTGCTGCCAGTGTCAGTGTGTGTGTGTCGTTTGTTTGTTTTTTTTTATATGTTTAAATAAATAACTTTAGGCCTAAAGATTACATAAAAATATTTTCTGAAAGCTTATACCCAAGGGAATAAAATGCTGGTAGTTCCAATTTTTTATGTCACATGATATTAGCCTATATTTTTTTTTTTATAAAATATAAAAGGTAAGGTTGTACCAAACACATTAAACCTTAAAACTGAGTTTGCCTGTGAATCGGCAACAAACTTCAGTACCCTACATTTTCCGTAGGCAATGTTTTATAAGCCCCTGTAAATAATGGGTCTAGAATTATTGCTCTCACTCAGGCGTGCGCAGCGATATTTAATGTGAAGCACAATTGATGTTTTGATGCGTAAAAGCCCTCACAATTTGCATTTACATTGGCATATGTGTGTGTATGTGGGAGGGGGGGGTGGGGGATTTTATGTGCTTTTTATACTTTTATTTTACCCCATGTCATACATTTTTTATTGACCGTGCTCTAAAAAAAAACCCTGATGTCTCACTTATACAGTGAAGGTAATGGAACATAGATCGCTCGCTATCAGATTCTTCCCCAGAGTGCCACTAGAGGACAGTGAGAGCAGGACCTGAAAGCAATGCTTTACACATCGCTTCTGGGTCAGTAATAAGAAGAGGAAATCAGCGAACAAACATTCCCTTCCTCTACCCAGTGGCACCTGCTATGCTTGCTATTCCCAGAACTGCCGATGGGCATGTGGTGGAGGGGACACTCGGTTACTGGGGTGTGCGGAAGTGATCTGGATTGCTTATCTGACAGTCAGCTTGTCAGATTTACACACTCCTGGCAGTTGCAGCTGCTGGGAGTGTGCATAAATACCTCAAAAGCCATCAATGTAGTTTTCAGTGACAGTAAAAGGGTTCAAGTATAATTAAAAGGGTTCAAGTATAATCAAAAGGCAAACTTTTTTTTCTTTCTTTCTTTGATTTAGACAGAATAGAGAGGAATTAGAACACCTGCCAAGTTTATATTGTTGTCTGTTAGCTGAGCAAGACCCCCACCCCCCATTTGTCCTGTTTACTCCCTTACTCTAGCCAAAATATATATATGTACACACACACTATATCACTATATTGCCAAAGTGTTGGGACGCCCCTCCAAATCATTGGCTTCAGGTGTTCCAATCACCTCCATGGGCACAGGTGTATAAAATCAAGCGCCTAGGCATGCAGACTGCTTCTACAATCATATGTGAAAGAATGAATTGCTCTCAGGAGCTCAGTGAATTCAAGTGTGGTACCGTGATAGACTTATTGCACAGGTGAAATTTCCTTGTTTCTAAAAAATTCCATGGTCAACTGTTAGTGGTATTATAACAAAGTGGAAGCAACTGAGAACAACAGCAACTCAGCCACGAAGTGGTAGGCCACATAAAATGACAGGGTGGGGTCAGCGCATGCTGAAGTGCACAGCACGCAGAAGTCGCCAACTGTCTCTGGAGTTAATAGCTAAAGACCTCCAAACTTCGTGTGGCCTTCAGATGAGCACAACAACAGTGTGTAGAGAGCTTCATAAAATGGGTTTCCATGGCTGAGCAGCGGCATCCAGGCTTTACATCTCCAAATGCAATGCAAAGCATTGGATGCAGTGGCGTAAAGCACGCTGCCATTGGACTCTAGAGCAGTTCTATGTTCTCTGGAGTGACGAATCACACTTCTCTGTCTGGCACCTCTTAAGGCCTCAGCATACCAAGACATTTTGGAAAATGTAATGCTCTCAATTTTGTGGGAACAGTTTGGGGATGGCCCCTTCCTTTTCCAACATGACTGCACACCAGTGCAAAAAGCAAGGTCCATAAAGACATGGATTAGCAAGTTTGGGGTGGAGGAACTTGACTGGCCTTCACAGAGTCCTGACCTTAACTCGATAGCACACCTTTGGGATGAATTAGAGTGGAGATTGTGTGAGCCAGGCCTTCTCGTCCGACATCAGTGCCTGACCTCACAAATGTGCTTCTGGAAGAATGGTCAATCACTCCCATAGACACACTCTTAAACCTTGTGGACAGTCTTCCCAGAAGAGTTAAAGCTGTTATAGCTGCAAAGGGTCGGCAAACTCAATATTGAACCCTATGGACTAAGACTGGGACTGTCATTAAAGTTCACGTGCGTGTAAAGGCAGGCGTCCCAATGCTTTTGGAAATAGTGTGTGTATATATTTTATATATTATATATATATATATATATATATATATATATATATTTATACACACACATACATACATGCATACACACACGCATACATACACACTTGCGTGTGTGTATACACAGACAGGGCTTGAACAAAAATATGGAAACACTACATGATTTGCAGGTGTAAAAGTGATGACATGTTCTCTGCTAAAAGTGATGTCACATTTTTTTTTTTTCCGCTTTGTGATGAGACATCTAGCTAACAGGTGGGAATTTCACTGCGTGCGCTCCTGATAATACGGTATCATGTCAGAGCTTACTTAGTTTCAAAAAGGGCAAATTGTTGGTGCCCACTTAGCTTGTGCCTCTGTAACTGATACTGTACTTTGTGACACCGCAAAAAAACTGGCAACTTTAAAGGTTATGATAGAATATCCAGTTTCCAGGAAAACATTGTCTGATAAGCATAAGCGCAGTTTACATCGTCAATTGACCAAAAAGAGACAAAAAGGACACTGTGCAGGATTTTGACCCGAAATAGGAAAAAAACTGCTGCAAAAGTGACTGCAGAGCTCAATCTCAGTCTTCCGCAGCCCATGTCCACAAAAACTGTGCAGAGGGAACTCCATAAGCAAAACATTAATGGGCGAGCTGCAATTGCCAAACCACTAGTGGCCGATATTAATTCTCAGAAGAGAGTGGTGCAACACTCATAAATCCTGGACTATCGATCAATGGAAGACTGTAATATAATCCAATGAATCAAGCTTCATACTGTTCTCAACCATCAGACATCTTAACGTATGGCAAACACCGTCCCAAGCTTATGACTAGGACTGTCTTGTGTATGGTGGCGGTGCAATCATGGTTTGGGCAGCCATATCTTGGTATTCTGCAGGCCCCATTATCACCTTGAAAAGTGCCAGTGACTATGTACAAATTTTGGCTGACCATGTGCACCCAATGGTGCAGACATTGCTTCCTGAAGACAGCACCATTTACCAAGACTATAATGCTCCGATTCACAAAGCTGGTGTTGTCAAGTAGAGGTCTGACAAGCATACATATGAAGCCTTGCACCTTCCCTGGGTGCCGCAGTCGCCGGACCTATATATCATAGAGACACTATGGTCAGTTTTTGAGAACAAGGTACCTCTGTGAGAACTGGAATAATTTTTGAATGAAGAGTGGTATCAGATTCAATTATCCACAATCCAAGACTTATATTTGTCAATTTCCAGGATGATTCAGGCCATCTTGGATGCCAAAGGTGGTCCAACACCATATTAGGTAACAATTTTGTTCTTTACCTGATGTTTCCATTATTTTGTCCAACCCACAGTATATAAAAATGTTGCCTTTAGTTCTTCTTTAAGCTGTCCTTTTCACATAAACATAGAATCATTGCTGTAATTGTAAATAGTAAATGAGAGCAGTAAAGAGGAGTACTCTTGTAGGACCAGTCATACCAGAGGAGGAAGCCTGCAGGAGTGAGGAATGAGGCAAGCAATTCACCTTATCCATCATCCCCAAGACAATTAACCCTTGCAGTTGGTGTGTATGAATTTTAGGTATAGCTGGAGTTCAGCTTTAAATTTAAAGTGGTGTTTACTTTTTCAAAATTGTTATCACTAGCATAGCAAGGTTTTGATATTCGGTTAAAGAATTCAGACACCCACTGCCATTATTAAGATATATACTGTAGCATTAAGTACATAAACCTTCTTGCTGGCATTAAGCCCTGGTTCACACTAATTCGGTGCAGGAATCACAGTGAATCCTGTGCATTTCCTGCATGGCATTGCTATCGCACAACGTCCAAGTGATCTGGTACGGGTGTCAATGTTAAATTAACTACACCCCAAAACAGATTGCAAAACGCAGTGCAATTACTAGAATTTGCATCGCATGCGTGTGAACACCGACGTGATGCGAGTCAGGTGCGGGAAAAAAAAGGGTCCTGCACCTTTTTGGTGAGGATATGATGCAATTTGAGCCATACAAAATGTATGGATCAAATCGCACTGCACAGTCATTGCATGTGATTTGCACAGGAATGCGGTACAGTTCCTGTGCGAATCACATGTGATGTGCCACACCGCATCAGTGTGAACCAGGACTTAGGGGGCAAACAGCTTTCCAAACTAAAAAAAAAAAAAATTAAATTTCATTGCTTGATACTAAGTGTCCTGTTTTTCCATTTTTACTCCTGAATCTGATTACATTTTGCAGAAATTAATAGCTTAGGTAAATACAATCACTTGTGCAGAGTCATTAATTGCAGACAATTAACATAATTAATGTAAACAGAAGAAAAACAGCGTGCACTTACAGTTGACGTTAAAGTCAAGAAACAGTACTTTTTACCCTGAAAATGCCAGAAGCAGAACTAATGACAAACATTTTTTTTTGGATAGAATAAAGATAGAGTAGGAAGGGGTCTAACCATGGACAAAAAAGGAAGTGAGAGAATCCCTGGTTTTCACCACTGGAACATTTCCTGTCTCTTCTTGTTCTGGCAACAACCCAAAATGCAGAATTTGTTTTCACTTTTGGTGATAATGGTAAACAGAGAGTGTGAATCTCCTTAATTGGGGCAGGCAGCAATAAAAACCTGATAGGTATTCTAATCCCTATCCACTCTATTCAAAACTAAACATTGTCTTTATTGAAGTATTATCAATCACTTTTTGGGTCACTTGGAGTTTACTTTAACCGCCTCCCGCCTGCCATATAAAGAAATGACAGGTGCAAGGCGGTTCTCTCGTTCTGGGAGGACGTCATATGACGTCCTCCAACTCTAACTGCGTATGCATGGCTCCGGGGGGGCGCGCAGCGCGGTGATCGGTGGTTCGCTGTGTCCCTCGGACACAGCGGATCACTAATCAACGGAAAGAGCCGAAGATGTTGGCTCGGTCATGTGATCAGCTGTGTCCAATCACAGCTGATCGCATGTAAATAGGGAAATGCCGGTCTCTCTCCTCACGAGCTGTCACGCTGACAGCTCTTGAGGAGAGGAGAGCCGGTAATCGGCATCCCTCAGAGAGGACATGTAGACTGATCATCAGGGCACTGATGATCAGTGTGCCCTGATGATCAGTGTAGCCCCATCAGTGCCTACCAGTGCACATCACTGATGTGCGCTAATGAGGCTACAGTGATGGGCACTGATAGGCTGCACTGTTGGGCATTGACAGGCATCACTGATGGGCACTGAAAGGCAGCACTCATATATGGCACTGATAGGTGGCACTGATAGGCAACACTGACTGGCATTGATATGTAGCACTGACTGGCACTGTTAGGTGGCACTGATGGGCAGCACTGATAGCCAGCACTGATGCACACTGATAGGTGGCACTGACTTGCACTGACTGGCAATGATTGGCAGCACTGATAGGTGGCACTGATGTGCATTGATAGGTGGTACAGACTGCCACTGATAGGTGACACTGAAAGGCAGCTCAGATGGGCACTGATATGTCATTACCACAAAAATAAAGCTATATTAGTCTAAAAAAAATGATATAAAATTAATTTTGACTAACTAATTATCAGTGGTTACACCCCTTTAGCACCTGATAGATAAATGCATGTACAAGCTATTGGTATTTGAGCACAGTTATATCTTGTCTCTGTTGCATAGCAGGTCAGTAGCCAGCCTAAACCTAGTAGCTCTCCCCCACTTTGTCTCCGTTTGCCCCATGTTGGCATTGTGTCCACAGTAGCATTTGCGTTGGCAGAGCAGAGTAGGACTGGCCATAGAGGGATTACTGTGACGCAGTTGGCCAGTTTAAACATGTACTGCAATATGTGTGAACTAAAAATCCATATTTTTCTATTGCAACATTTGCTGGAAAGGGTAATTAGCAGTGTGCAGAGGGTTCCTCGAGGATTCCTAGTGTTAATATGTGGTTACACCCCTTTAGCACATGATAGATAAATGCATGTACAAGCTATTGGGATTTGAGCACAGGTATATCTTGTTTCTTTCTGCTGAGGTAGGCACGCCTCTCAGAACTGCATCCCTAAGGCTGGCCATACACTATACAATTTTCTGTCCAATT